TCCTAACCACTTAGCCATCGCTCCAACTCTGATTTTAAATTTTAACTTCTCTCTCTCTCTCTCTCTCTCTCTCTCTCTCTCTCTCTCTCTTTCTGTGTGTGTGTGTGTGTATGTGTGTGTGAGTGAGTATGTGCGTATTCTGTGTGTGTATATTCTCTCTCTGTGTGTGTATTCTCTCTGTGTGTGTATTTTCTCTGTGTATGTATCCTCCCTCCCCCACCTCTCTCTCTCTCTCTCTCTCTCTCTCTCTCTCTCTGTGTGTGTGTGTGTGTGTGTGTGTGTGTGTGTGTGTGTGTGTGTGTTAGAGGTCAGAAGACTACTTTCCGGAGTCACTTTTCTTCCACTGTGGGATCTAGTGATTAAACTCAAATCATCTGGCCTTCATCAGCAATCAGTTTTTGACCCACCACTGGCCCCATTTTAAATAATTGTTTTCAATAGATTCCATTGTACAGAATTTTTAATTTGTTTTTATGTAGTTTGTCAGTCTTTTCCTTTAAGTCCTTGAGTTTCATATCTTGCTACAAAGGCTCCCCCAACCCCCAACACTAAACCCAATTCTGGGATGATTTTAGCCTTACTTTATATTTAGATACTCAATCTAGTGGGATTTTTTTTTTGAGCCATAGAAAATGCAGGTATATATTGCTTTTGTTCTGTGTTGGTTATCTAAGATCCTAGATACCAACTACTAGTAGTCTTTTTCTTGTTGGGGTGCCTATAGGCTGTTTCCTGGCCCTGTATTCTAGAAGTCTGTTTGCCTCTGAGCCAGTGTGAGAACCTGTTAATTTGCTGAGGTATTCAGGAGAGAGTCTCCAGCTGTGACCCCTCTTAAGTTCCTCTCAACCCTCCTTGTGAGGTTAGCTTCACAGAGGTACAACACAGTTCATTGTGAAAATGAACTTGAGAGGTGCCTGGGGGTTTCAATGGGGATTGCATTGAATTTATTCACTTTGCTAGGCACTGACGCTGAGCCCAGTGAGTCCCTCTTCAGCTCTTCCTTTATAGCATCTGTAAGTTGCATGTTTTGTTCTCATAGCAAGTCTTGTATTATTCATGAATTTGCCTTGCTCCTGGGAATTCACACGGAGATTCACAGTATTCACGAAGAGTGTGTTACTGCTAGCCTTTAAGAGAAATACTGAATATGGTTGTATCATATCTAAACAAATTGATTACTGCCCTTTTAGACCTGGAATGATTTCAAGTGGTTCCTACAATATCTCACTGGTCCTTGTGGTCTGTCAAAAATGCCCATTCCTGATTTCTTTCTCAATCAAAGAGCTAAGTGTTGGTAGGTGGACAAAAAAGACAAATCATTTTAAAGAGGAAAAACCTTCAGAAAAGTAGAGTCATTTCAGATTACTAGACAAAATTGGGAATAAAAACCTAAATAACCACAGACTTGAGGAAATGCCAGTAAATTAAAATATAAATAATGTGAAGGTTGTTTTACAAAATTTATAGAAATAAATCTGAAACCTAAGGAAAATAACATATCTACCAAAATTGAATGTATGTACATATATAGAGGAAGATATATACATGCTGCAAATGGAACCAGGAAGATAGAGGGAAACCCCAAAACCAGTCAGAATGGAAAGAGGAAGATAGCTGCTCCAGTCCTATAGCCAAGAGTTAAAGATTATTTTTGTATTTCTGAATGTTTTCCCTAACTTACTTGACAAGATCCACTAGAGCACATTGCAGTAATAGAATAGTAGTCAGGACTGCACTTCCTGGGCTGTAGTCACAGCATTTCTAGCCCCGTTAATGATGGGCTTTCCTAGAGTTTATCAAGGGGTTTTCTTTTGCTCCTAGCCCATCGTGAGCTAGTACCCAATGTTTACACTGAATGCTAGCAATGTTGTGTCAGCCTTTCACCAGAATCTCCACTGTGAAAATATCCACCTGCAGTAGTGTGCCTTTGCTGAAACACCTTTAGTTCACTTAGGGCTTTGCCCTGCTTGGTCAAGGCGCTGTTATCTTAGTGAATTTCTGGGTGTTATTTGGTACTATTAAATAGGATTTTGTATAAATATTAAAAGGTAAGATATATCTGTACCCTCCTCCTCCTCTTCTTTTGAGACAAGGTCTCAGTTTTTGGCCCTGGCTGGCCTGGAATGTGACATGTAGACCAGGCTGGACTCACAGAGATCCATCTGCCTCTACCTCCAGGATAGTGGGGTAAAAGGCGTGCACCATCACACAAAGCACTCTGTGCTTCAGCAACAGAATTCTGTATATGTTCATGTATGTGCTTCTGTGTATGCATGTATGTATTTCTGTGTGTGCATGTATGTGTTTCTGTGTGTGTACATATGTGCTTCTGTGTGTTCAGGAAGTTGTTGTTGTTCTTTTAGAAATCTTACCCTTTGCTTCAGCATACCAAGAATTATCTATTTCTTGACAGAATGTGTGAAGCTAACTTCTCTTTGTGAGGGCTGATGGGGAGGACCTGTGATTCCTGCAAGATGAGGGGAGGGAGGAGAAGCAGTTGGAGTGGGATGATGTAACCTAGGCAAACAGAAGACAAAAAAGAACTAAGTGTATGCTGTCTCTAAACAAACTCTTACACAGTGTGAAGATGCCTGAGGATCCATGGCAATAGGGACGGGGACAAAGGTTACATTCCAGCAGCAGCATGTGAAGACTAGGACATAGGGCAGAGGTAGAGTGCTCTTCTACCGTGCCTAAGGCCCTGGCTCAGTTCTGAGCACCACGAGAATAAACATGGAAGTTTGTTGATTAACTAAATATCTAGAAGGCAGGAAAATGATAAAGTAATGTTGATTTCAAAGAAGCATTAATTTTGGACCTGTAGAAGATGTTTGGCTTGGTGAAGGCTGGCCTGGTGACATGGGCCTGTAATTCCAGTTACTTGAGAGGCTGAAGCCAGAGAATCAGGTCTTTAAGGCTTGTCTAGGCTAAAGAGCAAGAGGGGGTGGGACAGAATGTGGTCACATTGCTGAGACCACCCTGTCCAATGATCTGTCCCTGTTGTACAAATAGAAATGCCCAAAGCCCAGAAACAGTAGTTCCCATCAGTTGTTGTCACTGCCCCCCTCTTCCTACACATCCTGTCCTTTGTGAGATGTCAGTCCAGGCCTGGGGAGATGCTCAGCTGGTAAAGTGCTTGCTTTGCAAGCATGAGAACCCAAGTTTGATCTCCAGACTCACGTAAAAAGGCAAAGGGCTATGGTAGCAGATGCTTGTAACACCAGTGTTGGGGCAGCAAAGACAGACAGATTCCCAGCATACTTGGCAATTTCCAGGCCAATGAGAGACCCTGTCTCAAAAAACAACATGGGTTGTACCTGAGTAGGAATGACACCTGAGATTGTCCTCTGGCTTGCACATCACAAATGAACACACATGTAAACCCCATTATCACACACACATACATACAAGCTGTGGGTCCAAAGTTCATCGACATTATAGGAAGTCTTTTCAGGCTAACGGACACAGGCTTGCTTAAAGACTGAAGGAAAACCCTATTGAGAAATAGAATAAAGTTACTTAAATAGAAGTGAGTGGGGTCCTGGAGCACCCAAGAGACAGAAAAACACGTGTCATGACCATACTGGGACATCAGAGGGGTGCCATTTATGTACCTGAAGTCTTTTGAGCCCATCAGTAGACCAGAACAACAAATGGCATGGCTTCACAGTGCCTTCCTCTTCAACCCACAATGTTCCTCTCTTCTCTCATCCTTCCCCTCCCCAGTAGTTCATCCATGCTTTAGTCACTAAGGTAGGTCACCGCATGAATGGGGAAGATAAAATTGCCAGGCTGGTCTGTGCAGAATGTTCTAGAATACCAGGAGCAACTGGGATAGCCACATTGGATTTGTAAAGTGAGAGTTTAGCAATAGGTGAAGGAAGGAAATTTAAAATGAAAAGATAGTAAAGGGCTGTGAAGCGAGGCTTTCAAAGCAGTAGCAAATGACGGTGTGAAGGTTTAGATCATGCCACTCCTACCACACTGAGCAGATGAAAAGTCAAAGCCACACAGGTCTCAGAATAGAAAACCCTTGCCCAAACCTGGGAAATGTGGGCTAGGAGCTACCTCTCAAGAGTCATCCGGCATAGTAAAACCTAATTTGGAGATGTGCACCTCCTAGAGTCCCATGAGCTCACTCTGGATTAAATGCCCAGAGAAAATGCCATTTACTATCCACTGCAGTGGCAAGCACCAGAGGACTCTGGGTGTCAGTTTCCAGGGTGCAATGTGACAGGTGTATACTTTGAAATAGTGTGTGTCATAATCACAAGTAGTCAACTAGACATACATAGAGAAACATGAATAGAAAGATCTCAAAAACACTGTTTAAGACACTTGGGAGGCAAGGGTAAGGGCAAGCTGATCTCTGTGAGATAGAGGCCAGCCTGGTCTACATAGTTCTAGGGCAGCTAGGTCTGCATCATGAGACAAAACAAAAAAACAAAAACAACAACAACAAAAAAACCCTACCACCACCAACACAACCCACTATTTAATTTGAATGATCAAAACTGAATCAAAGATACTTGTGGTACCAGATCACCATGACAGTCAGAAAGATAAGCAGCACTGTTTTCAGGTTCAAATCCAGCATTAGGATGTCACCAACAAATGGAGCCTGTCTGCAGGGAAGCTTCGGAAGAGGAGTAAGGCTGGCAACTGAAGGAGACAAAGAGGAAGTGTCCTGCTGAAATACCTATGTACAAAGGAGCATAAAAACCTATTCCCATGTGAGGTCCCAACAGGACATGCTGAGTGTAGTTCAGGGCATTCTTCCTCTCCTACTGAAGAGGCTGCATGAGAGGGTGGCAGGGCCCAGAACAAGGACCAGGGGACAGGTTGGAAGACACCAGTCTAGAAGAGTAATCCTGTTCCTGAGATCAGCATGGAGCTCCCATGGCTTCTAAACAGGAAAGAACAATGTTTCAAAAGCTCTCTGGTGGCCTAGGGGCTCCTGGAAGACTGGGATGACCAGGTATTTAAGAGCCTGCAGTAAAATGACAGTCAAAGATACAGAAGATAAAACAGTCAGAGATACTGTGGGTGTGCCCAAGAGTGGACACCCTCTAAAACCAGTGCCAGAACCCACAGAAATTCACTTCCTATTGGAAATGAAGAAGTTAGAGACATTTGCCATTTTGATGAACTCAGGGGCTATGAAGGCTTCCAACAACACAGAAGCCCCAATGAGGTA